CCCCCCCCCCCCATGTGAATACATGTCCCATTGCATTTTAAGTCTGAGATGAGACCAATCACTATGGTAACGAGATAGCACGTGGTCACGCAAACATACATCAAGCGAAGGCTAGACTGTCTCATTTCACAGCAGTTTCGTGTAGACTACCCAGACTGGGGAGGACATGGTCCAGGTGGGCCACATACTCGTGAGGATGTACTGCCCATGAATTGAGACACAGACTGAAAAGAAATTAAGGGGTGCCAATAATGGTGAGCAGCTCTGTATGAGTTTTCTTTAACAGTGGCTTTCTCTCTCTATTTCTTTTCTCAACTGAAAATCTAGAGCAGGGGTGCCCAAACAWTTTCCCTGAGRGGGCCAAAATTGAAAAACATTTTTCCTGACAGGGCCAAAATTAAAATCAATCTGAGGGCCGCGGGCCAAATGCAATAATATAAGAAATGCTTAATACTTAAGTAAAGTTGTTTTATTTTTTATGATTAAGCTAGCAGCCAGTGTGGTTGGGCATAATCGTATCGTGTGCGATTAATCGTCAGAAAAACAATTGATTATTTTTTGGCACTTGACGATTAATACGATTAATGCCAYCAGACAAACTGACTGGAGATTTCTCCAGTCAGTCCGCTCGGTGCTCCTCTCTGCTTCAAATATGACAAAAAAAAGGTTCTGTAATTTACTTATCTATCAATACAATTTAAAATTTGATGTATGGTCTGAAGTCTGTAATTTTGACACAGTTTGGAACAGATTTTTACGAAGAGCAAATCTTTCAAACTAAATTGGTCATGTGACCAGGACATAAAGGTGTCCAGGCACTCSAGGGGATTAATCRTCAAATTAATCGTTATCGGCTAAATACCACAATTAATCGTAATTAATTTTTTTTGCCGATACTGCCCAACCGTAGCCCACATTCTTTAGGTTTTTTTCAGCCCATGGACATGGAGAAAATTCAACATACGCTCAGGCAGCAAAGACTCATGGGACTTTTCATAATTTAAAATTTGAGTATATGGGATCTTATAAGGTGTGCAAATCTAGATATGGGCTTAAATCTAATCTAAATGTCTCTTGTAGTTACTTGTATTTTATATTTAATCTTAACATAAGTACTATCTAATAACCAGGACAACTGCTGGTGGGCCAAATCAAATGGCTCGGTGGGCCAATTTTGGCCCACGGGCCTCACTTTGGGCACCTCTGATCTAGCATCAGTTGTTGTACCTCAATTTCTACCATCTCACCTGCTAAAGCTTGTTAAGTGCTTCAGCATGGTCACAGGTGCCTTGGTGGTCTCTTTCACCATTCAACTATTATTCTTTGCAATTTTTTTTTTTGATGAGTTTGTTTGGGGCCTTGGAAATATTTCATCCTTTTACTTTTAAGGCTTTTCTTTGAGTTGCATTATTAGACCAGTTATTTTTAATGGGGTGAAGATTTGTGCAATCACTAATTTTGTATCACAAGATTTTTGATTTGCAACACCCTGCAAAAATATATATATATATATATTTTTTTTCCCTCTTTGTCAAAAAGTCTAATTTACATAGACCACGACTGATCTTTGACAACAATAACAGCATAAAACCAAATCCAACGGGATGAACACTACTTAGACCAGAGGAGCCCAAAGTGGGGCCCGCGGGCCAGATTTGGCCCACCAAGCCATTTGATTTGGCCCACCAAG